TTCCTGCTGCCTTCATAAATAACTGCACATAGATTATGAAACTACTTGGACTTAAAAATTTAGCCTTGCAGCAGCGTTTTGCAACACAGCTGGAATTTTAGACACTTACGTTCTGCTTAATTTATCTACAAGTTAATGTAGAGTCATAAAGAAAACCGATACCAAGAACTAGGGAAGCTGGAGGATCAGACATCTGTTTTAGTGAACTGCATTCTTATTGTTGAGCAAATTTGACGCACTACTTAGAGCTGTATAAAGTGTGTAAATTGTACTCAATTAAAATGAATAACTAAAACTGAGCTACTTCATTGACTGTAGTTTATTGAACAGTAGAATAATACTGGCATGGGAATCAGATACCAAATTGGCTGTTTCTATTAAACATCTGAAGTGTCCTAACTCTACACTGTTTTATAAGTACAAGATGAGTGAGATGAAACGAGATAAAACAAGATGAAAACTGGTTTGAAGTCTGCTATTGGGCTCCTATACTATCAGCAGGTGATTATTTCCTTTAGTAGCAAGGTTATAGGGTCCAGTAGATATATCTGAAGTAATGATTTTATATTAAAAACTAAAATACCTATGATTTAGACTATTTGAGCTTTCTGAATGCTACCCTGAATAAAACAGACAAAGGGGGAATTTTTTTCTGAGGTAAAGTAGGGCAACTGCCTGGACTTGTGTACCTGAAGAAATTGCAGATCGGCATCCTCAATTGAGTAGGCTCAGCTATTTAGTTATTACCTGGAAATTTTTGTAGCAAGATAGTTTCACAAATAGGTACTAAAGTCAGTGCTTGAGCTATACAATTTATAGAACTGTTCTGCAATGCTGTAAACCTTTTTATTTCTGAATATGGAAGAAAATGTAGGTAGCAGATTGTGTGTTAAGTTGCCCTTGATCATAAGTTGAACTATTATGCGATATTTGACAGATAAGCCTTTATGAGAAAGCAAATTTGGTTTTGGCTTTCATCTGATATGCAGTCAGTGTATAAAATATTACCATTCTCTGCAGGGACCTGCAAAAGTAAGGCTTATTAGTACAGCTTTCATTCTTTTGCTGGTGAAATATGCACTTAGTTGCTAATTCTTGCAAACACTATATGAAAAAAAAAAAAGCTGGTCAAAATTAATGGCTTAGTGATTTTAAAGTTTAATGTCATGAATGCATTTTAATTCAAAAGCCATAACTAATGCCAAGTACTTTATTAGAGCAATGTGTTCATGAAAAATTAAAATCCCTGCCTGAAGAAACTGTTGGCCAAGTAGGTTACAGTTCAGCTAATCTGTGGAAAAATGTGCCACAAACTGGAATCTCTGAATGTCATATTCAGAGTTGCTCATTTGTTACTTAACTGATTTTTTTTTTTTTTTTTGAAGACAGATGGCAGTTTTGCTTTCATTTTCTGAACAGTTAGATGCTTCAATAGCAATTGTGTAGTTTTCCGTCTTTGGTTTGGTTTTACCCCAAGACTGTTAACACGATTCAACAATTCTGAGGCAGTGATTGAAAACAGATCACTTTTAAGTATGGAGCTGTTTAAGTGGAGCTCATGCACTTGACAAAGATAAAGATGGTTTCTTAACGGAACTGTGATTTAGTGGGTAACATCAAGTCCATTGTTCAGCTGTCATTAACTTGTCTGTAGATCATTCTTCTCAGTGATGCTATCATAGAGGACAAGTTTGCGAATAATGAGATTTAATCAAGCAAAATTCATTGGTAGGTAGTACAGTGGCAGGTCATGCATCCAGAGTGATGTACTGTGTTAATTTTTCTTTAAACAAAATTTTTATAATTTTTTAATAAGAATGCAAATGCAAAGAACAATCTCAAGTGTTTGAAACTTTATTGCGGAGACTAGTTCACAAGTAAAACTGAAAGATAGGAGGTGGTACATAAAATCTGTAAGAAAAATATCTTGGTTTATGGTTTTTATTTGCATCTGTAAATTCTTGTGCTCTAGTTTGTTTTATTTCAAATTCAGAAAAACTGGTTACTTGCTTCACAAGGTTCCTGCATATATCACTGGAAACTGTCAGAGGTAAATCTTTAGCTGCAGTTGCTTGAAGGTTTGGTTAAATGAGTTTGTAGATTATAAATTCTGGCCTGTGTCAATGGGCCCAAATTTTAACAGTGGTTTTGAAGGTTCAAGTTAAAATGAATTCTTATAAGAATCTGATGGGGACAGCCACAATTGAATGAAAGGAGAAGACAAACTTCTCATGAGGTTAAACCTTTATACTCTCACGTTACTGTCATAAACTTGTGTTTAATGTCTGTTTCGATAAACCTTAAATTTTTTGATTATGTCTTGCCACTTGACATATTATTTAAGTTCTGAACTATATTATTGATGGTTTTATGAGTTAATGGTTTAGTATCAGCCCAAGTCTGACACTTGAAAATTCTTAGCAAAAATATCTTGAGGACTTTCAAAGTTGGGATGTCTTTCTAAATGCAATAGTCAACTTAGCCGTGAAAGAAGAAACAAAAAAAGCATGTTTCTCTTGTTCCTATCAATCAAGACCAACCCTGTAGTTCCATAATACTGAACAGATTTTTTTATTGATGAAATACAACGTAAAAAATACCTTAAAGAAACTGCTTCTAATTTTTCACTTCTTCCTGCCCTCTTGAAATCCTTTCCAGGAGACTCATCCAGCCCCTCCTCTTCTTCCCTGACTCATTCTTTCTGCTTGTGTCTCCCAAACTGGGTCTGCTCCCAAACCTGCAAGCTTTCTGAGGACCTCAGCCCAGCACGCATTATTCCTGTGCGCCATCTGAATTATTCCTCTGCCCGATCTTCATCAGTGCACAAACAGGGCAGTGGAAGCACAAGAAACACAAGTTCCTCTTTATCATGTATCAGAGAGTTAGTTACAAACTTTAAAAAAAAATAAAAAAATAAAAAAATAAAAATGCAAGTATGACCGACTGAATAGTTCATCATGCTTCTTTCTAGTTCAGTTTTGACCTGTAGTAATGAAGCTTTGAGGTTTTGAACATAAAAATATTGAAGGCATACTAGCTATTATTTCCTTAATTATTATGTCTCTAGTTATTCTCCAAGGATCTTTGTAGATCTCTGTTACCTGCAGATAAGTATTAGGAGTGAATGATTATCCTGAGCTCCACTGAGTTGAGTCAGTCTTAACCCGAGACTGAATGAAAACTAAACAATTACCTGGCAGCCTTTGGCAGCTGGCAAATTATTTGGGGAGCACCACACTAGTTTTCTTTGTTACTGATTTTGTGAGAGACTGATCTAATATAACAAAATTATAAGCAGTGAGGAAAATAAAAACTTGATACTTGTTTTTCAGACACTATTCAACACTTGTAATAGAGCTATTTACAATTTTGTAAGAATTGTGAGGTGACCACAGCAACTAATACTAATCCCAAGAGCAGAATGTGTGGATTTGATTGTTTTCTAGGGCCATGAGTTATCAATAAATTTTGCAGCATGCCCTTAAAAAGTTCAGATGGTCACAGAAAAAGGTCGTGTAACTGAATGGTACCTCACCAGCTGCCTCTTTGTATGTAGTGAGACATCTCAGCTGACCCCTTCCTTAATTCAAGTGTTCCTACTCATGACCACTGCAGTGCGGAAGGAGGTAGTCTGTTACATATTCAAATCCCCTATTGTGGAGCTTGTTTTGGTTGTCTACCAGGCGTTCTTCATTCTGGTATTCTTGAGGATGGCTGTCATGATTTTCTTGATGCTAACGTGCTACTGAAGTTACGTCTGTGGGTTTTAAAAAGATACAACCCAAATGAAGGGAATAAAATTATTTAGCAGTGCTCCACTTGTTCTTATGACAAATATCACTGCTGAAGATCCTGCGAGTAACACAGGTGTTAGAGTGGAAGATTAATTACTTCAGAATGTCATGTATAACCACTTTGTATGGTAGGTATTTTCAGCCATTCATTGTCCTAACTTTGTTTAAATTCACTTGTTGCATCTTGTATGAAACTTAGATTGCAGGTTCCACTGGAGAGAGGAGGTCTTT